TATTTTCCTAGACAGAGCTGGAACTCATTCTATTAAGTGAAGTATCCCAAGAATGGAAAAATAAGCACCATATATACTCACCAGCAAATTGGTATTAACTAATCAACAGCTAAGTGGACATATAGGAATAATGTCTATTGGGTATTGGGCAAGTGGGGGGACGGGTATATACATACATAATGAGCATGATGCGCACCAACTGGGGGATGGACATACTTAAAGCTCTGACTCGAAGGGGTAGGGGGAGAAGGGCAATATATGTAACCTTAACATTTTTACTCCCATAATATGCTGAAAAAGAAAGAAAAAACAAAAAAAAAAAAGAATCTAAGAATTTGAAAATAAGGCAGCAGAAATTCCCCAAAATGAAACACAAAGAAAATAAAAATAACAAAGCATCCCAGATCTGTGGGACCATATCAAACATATACAGGTGGAATCCCAGAAAGAGACAAGAAAGAAAAGGGGGCAGAAGGAATATCTGAAGAGATGATGGTTAAGAACTTCAAAAAATTTATCAAACACAACAAACCATAGACCAAAGAAGCTCAAAGAACTCCAAGCAGGATAACTCTAACTCTAACTCTCTCTCTCTCTCTCTCTCTCTCTCTCTCCCCCTCTCCCTCTCCCTCTCTCACCCCTAGACATATTATAGTCAAATTGCTGAAAACCAAAGCCAAAGAGAAAATCTTGAAGACATTAACAAAAAATATTTTAGAAGTAATGAAACAAAAGCATATCACAATACCAACAATGTTCCCCATTTGTGAGCCTTGACAATTACAAGCAACAGCAGCAGCAACAGCAGCAGGTATTACACTTATTGATAACTTATTACATGTCAGACACTGTCTTAGTGTCACAAAAACCCTATGAAGCATAATGAATATCTCATTTTACAGATAAAGAAACTGAGATACAACAAAGTTAAGTAAATTGCTCAGCATCACTGTTAGAAGCTGTGGAACCAGGATTCAAATCTCAGCAGTGTGGTACTAGGGTCTATGCTCTTAATCACTGTATTATTCTGTTGGGTAGATCCCCCTAAATGGCTCAAGACCTTTATATCCACTCCAATAAGCTTAGCACCATAAACAGTGATAATTAGCACACTACCAGCACCACCACCATACACACACAAACCTGCCCAGTCTGTGCTCCTAAATAGAAAGTAACATTGATAATATGGAGAACACAAACACCCGTTATCACTACTGGGGTTGGCAATGAATGTTAACACAGATTACACACTTCCTTCTAAATTAGATAAACACTTCTAGGTAACATAAAATCTCAGCTTTAACTGTACTATGTATGTATTTTTTGTTGAACCATACATACCTTCTTGTTCTCATAAGGGCACTCCCATTCAGAACCACTTCTCTCTTCCCTCCCTTAAACACAGTGAAAATAATCATATCATGGAAAAAGTTACTACTATCAAGCTCTCTCTGCTCACAGGAGGTACAGTCTCCAAGTAACAATTTTGCCATAGTATTATGATTAATTTATTTTTAATAAGCTTTATATTTAGAATAATTTTAGATTTATATAAAAGTTGCAAAGGTACTACAGACAGTTCCCATATGCCCTTACTCAGTTTTCCTTGTCATTAATATCTTACATTATCATGGTACATTTGCTACGTCTAAGAAACCAACATTGTTACATTACTATTAACTAAACACACTTCAATCAGATTTCACTAATTTTTACATTAATGCTTTTTTTCTGTTCCAGAATCCAATTCAGGTATCACATTGCATGTAACTGTCAAGTTTCCTTATTCTCTTCTAGTTTGTGACACTTATCCAGACAATTTCCTTGTTTTTTCTGACTTTGATAGTTTTAAAAAAAAAAAAAAAACTGGCCAGGTATTTTTATAAAATGTCTCTCTATTTGAACTTACTGATATTTTTCTCATGGTTAGAACACGGTTATGGATTTTTGGAAAGAACACCACAGGGTGAAGTACTATTCTCACATGTTATATCAGAGGTACTTGATATTCAGAAAATACTGGTGATATTAACTTTGATCACTTGGTTTAAGAAAGGTTTGCCAGGTTTCTTCACTGCAAAGTTATTATTTTTCTCTTTCTATTCTCTATTCTTTGGGTGAAGTAACTAAGTCCAGCCTACCATCAGAAGTACACGATGGAAATTAATCTCCACCTCCACAAAGCGGGGAATATATATATATTATTTGAAATTCTTCTGTAAGAAAGAGTTTTATCTTCTCTCCTGTTTTACTACTTTATTTTATAAAATGCTCAGGTAAAGTAAATGTTTTTAGCTGGAATTTCACCTTCTTAAACAAAACCAAAGAACAAACCAATAGCCCACTTTTCAGCTTGACTATACTAAAAAGAAACAAATTTAAAGGTCACATTTAACTAAACAATTTTTCCAGTGCATCTGTATAAAATTAACTTTAGGGAAGAAGCAAAGAAGATCCAAGGAATGCTTTAAGTGGAGGAAGATGGAATAGGACTTGATCTTCACATTAATGGGCAAACAAAGTCATACACACACACTCTCTCTCCCTTTGAAGTAGGTGACCAGGATAGAAGAAGGGAAAGGACAAAAGTGACTGAAATTGGTGTTCCCCTTTGTAGGGGCTGGGCCTAGAAGAAAGGATGGATAGATGGAAAGAACTTGAGCAAGGTGAATGAAGGATCAGGAGAAAACACCTGCCTGAAGACGCTTGTTTACTGAGTGCAAAGGTCAGCTGAAAACAGCTGACCTGGATGGAAAGAAAGGATGGACAGATGGAAAGAACGTGAGGGTCAGGCAAAAACACCTACCCAAAGTTGCTTGCTTGCTGAATGCAAAAGTCAGCTAAAAACAGCTGACCTTTATGGAAGTTGTTAAAGAAATTAACAAACAGTCCCAACTGTTTGCACGTATCCTTGGAAATAAATATGGGGAAGTAGTTAGCTGAGGAGGCCATTTTCTCTTTTAGATTTTGGTCTCTCCTCTCCTGTCTAAACATTACGTGTTTCCAGTAATCATTCATTCCTTCGCTACCGAGCTCAGGAGCGAAGAAGCAAGCCACAACCCCTTTTACTATTGATAACAGAGATGATTGGTGTTGCCATTTGCTATTGGAAATTACAACTCTGGAAGCAGAGGAAGCCTGATAGCCAGGTATGTTGAAATAAGAATTATAAATTATTCTTGGTTAGACTATAAATATTTCCTCTTTCCCAGATAATTTGTCCTCAATTCAATCAATTAGCTCACTGGAAACTGAACCCTTTTGAACAAGGAGATTGCCTCATAATAAACTGAACATTAAATTGCCTAGGAAATCCCACACACAAAAAACCTGCACTCAAACGCTACAAAAATCAAAGGTTTCAGACAACAACGAAAACAACACTAAGAAAAAGTTGAGAGAAATCCTAAAAGAAGAAGAAAATCAAACGGGAGAAAGGGGTGGGAAGACAGAGAAGAAGGAGAAGGAAACAATGAATATTATCTGCAAAACTAACCACTCTATAATCATTTGCAAGAAGTATTAATATATAAAAATCAAATATTTTTCCAGAAGGCTAAAATGTAACTAATATAATTAGTTCGGTCATCTGTTTGTACTGTACAGAAAAAGAAAGTTTCCAAACTTGTTTAGTGTAGAATAGATCTGCCCAGGAATAAGGTATTCAACTAATGGTCTGCAAAACAACAACATTCTATTCTTGCTCCTCGGAAAGCTCAGCTCTTCTTCTTTCTTGGCTCATAGCTCCACTGTTCATGTAATTCCAATGGGTCCTCTCGAATCCCTAGTATTCTACCATGTGTCTTTACTGTTTTTTGTTTATACCTAAAATCCTCCCACTTCCTTATCTTAAATATAATTTCACCTAAAAGTAATCATAATTCTGTAAACTTCTAAAAAGCTTTAGAGTTTACAAAATACTTTTCCTCTTATTCCCTTAATCTTTATAATAATAAAAACACCACAGTGTATTACCATTTTATAAAGGAAACAAGGATAACTTACATCACTGAAGGCCGTATCAGTTCTCCCAAAGGGTACCCACAAGGATCCTTTATAAACCCACCTCCACTTGAAGGTCTGAATTCACTTGGTGATTCAGCACACTGCAGTTCCCAAAGGTCCCAACTGACTTCCTGTTCAACAAATCCAATATATGCTTTGTGGTTCTCTTACATGACTTCTCTGGATCAACAACCTTCATTTGAAATGTTATCTTCTTTGGGCTCTTTCTGGCACTACTTTTTATTAATTCTTTCTTTTTCTCTAGCTACTCATTCCTATTCTAAAGTCCCATCTTTCTAAACCTAATAAATGTTGGGGTCTGTCCTTGGCTTTTATCTCTCCATGCTGTATGTTCTCTCTGAGCAATCTTACCCAAACTCAAAGCTTCAAAAGCCAACAATATTCTGGTGACTCCCAGAAGCACATACCTATTCCTGAATTTATCACCTCCAGACTCTTAATTCAATTGTGCCTATCTTCAAAGATAATGCAGCCAAAATTAAAGTCATTATCTTTTCTCTTTTCAAAACCTGACTTTCCCCATGTAAGTCCTACACCATCTCTTACATTCCCGATCCAGAAATCAGAGGTCATTCAGATTTTGTTAGCTCCCACACCAAACCCTCATATCTACTCCACTTCCAAATACTGATTTCACCCTTTCAATCTATCATTTATCTTGCTAACAGAAAGTTCCTTTCAAAACACAATCAGACCAACTCACCAGCACTTACCTTCAATATTCAAAACCAAACACCCTCTTCTCTACCCTAGCTAGTTTCCCATAGGGTAAATCCAAACACCTTTGCTACTGAAGACACTCGATGATCTGGACTAAGCTTACTTACCCTTTCAGCATCATTTCCTTCCAATTTTTCATCTCGTCCTGCATTTTCCATCTCACCATTGAAACCTACACCCTTCATGAAATCAAAACTCCTGAAGTTTCCTAAACACATTATGACAGCTCTGTCCAATAGAACTTTCTGTGATAATGTAAATGTTCTATATCTGTTCTATACATTACCAGACACATGTAACTGGTAGCTTAAAATGTGGCAAGTGTGACTATGGTAATGAATTTATTTTATTGAATTCTAATTAATATAAGTTTAAATTGTCACATGTAGCTAGTGACTATCGCATTAAACAGTGCCAGTCTATGCTTTCTATTTCTCTATATCTTGGGGTATGTCCTCTGGCCCTCTGTATTCCTTCTGGTTTCTTTCTTTATCCTTCTCATGCTGGTTTTTAACTACAAATGCAATTATTCCAATAGATATAAAGCTATTGAGGTTATGTTTATCCCTTTCATGTAAATTGTGAAGTTTATATGTATAAATTTAAAGTTATTTATAATCCCTTTATATGCTTTTAATATCTGTAGAGATGAGACCTCGGACATTCTTGATTTGATCATTTGTCTTCTCTTTTTGCCTGATCAGTATGACTAGAGTTTTAACAATTTCATTATCTTCTCAAAGAACCTGGTTGGCTTCATTGCTTGTCTCTGTTTTTCTGTTTCATTGATGTTAATTGTATTCCTTCTGTAAACTTCTGGCTTCATTTGTTTTTCTTTTTCTAGTTTTTTAAGGTAAAATGAGAGGTTATTGATTTGAGATGTTTCTTCTTTTCTAATGTAGGTATTCAGTGTTAGAATTTCCCATTAAGTACAGCTTTCAATGTATCTAAATAATTTTAATATGTTGTTTTGTTTTCATTTTCATTTGGTGCAAAATACTCTCTAATTTCAGTTTAGATGTCTTCTTTGACTCATGAGTATTCAGAAGTGTAAAGTAAGAAAAAATAAAGAAAAAAACCTCAGTCATGAACATCTTCAATACTTCTTGACATAGAAGAATGCTATATATTAAGGTATATCAATATATTGCAATACTTTGCAAACATAAAGTATTATAATATTTCTCAAACAAAAGGACCAAGACTTCTTTCAGGGCAGTATGTAATATGTCTCTCAAATAATCTCCATTATTAGAAAAGCATTTCTAACCTAAGTAACTTAAAAAATGAAACTTGAATATGCTCATGTGTGCTCATTAACTCAACACTTATGTTTCCCATTAAAATACAAAATGGTCCACCTTCTTTAGACTTCTGTTGAGTTAAAAAGCTTTTTCTTTTTAAAAAGGTACTTAAAAAAGGGAAGAAAAATTATCCCTACAGGTCCTAATGTAGATATGTTTAAAGTAACCAATCAGAATGACATTCACAAAACCAACCAAAAAAAGTATCCTATAATACTAAGTTTTAAACATGGAACCACACATAACCCCTGTGGCACAATATAAACAAACTTCTCAATGCCTGAATCAGAAGGAATGTGTAATATGATGGATTCTTCATGACTCATTTTTCATGATGATGTAGACCCCCAAACATAAATGCTTTTTTTACTAATAAAAATCAGCTTATCAACTCTATGCTTAAAGAGGCAGACTGAGTTGCCAGCTGAGTTGGAGTGGGGAAGGTGGGTAGACACTTCTGAATCAAATTAAAGTTTGGCACAATTTGGCACAACACAGCAAATGAAAGGAACAGAAAGCCAACCCCTAACTCCTCTAGAACTGTGTGATCAGGAGGCAGACAATTACTTTTGCAACACAGCAAACAACGACAATGGCATTAATAGTGTTAAGAACAGTGTTAAATGCTACCCCTATCTTGATAAAATCTATGTAAATGTCAAAAAATAACCATTAAAATGGAGTACTATGACTTGACTAACCACATACAGGTTGTCTCTGTTTAAAAAAAATTTTTAAAAATCCCCAAACCACTTCTGAAATAAGGTACTTCAACAAAAAATATGTGAATAAGGAAACCAAGTACTAGAAGGGGGCTCTTAGAATAAAACACAACCATAATGAGGGAGCCTGCCAAAATTCAGTAATTTATACAAATCTTAAAAGACTCTGATAGTAAAAAGAATGGACCAGACAAGTCACAGCAATCTTCTAAAGTGAATATCTGTTAAAAATGTAGTGGAAAGAGAAAACATAACTCCTAATTTTATGGGCTATTTTTCTCTCTAATTTATTTTTTGTTAATTTATGAAATAGAATTTCATTCAACCTGAACTACAAAAATAAAACAAAAAGAAAAAACCCTTTGTAATCATGACCATAAACTGGAGCTTCTGCTTCTACCTATAAAGGATGAATTGGAACAAGAATTGTCCTCCTGTCATAAACGAGAAAAATGGACAAAATGTATGAAACAACTGTTTTCAGATGTTGTACAAAAGACAGGGGAGGATTATGCTGCCAGAAGAAAGGTAAAAAAAAAATTAGCCTTACAATTACTCCAGCTTGCCAGGCTATAGCACAGTTAGAATCCGAGCAGAGCCTGGTGGTTTAGCTGAGTTATGCAGAGAGAGACTGGTATACAAGGAGGCTAAGAATGCTAGACTTTGTAGGACAGAGTACTGGAGAGGAGGTAGCTGCATAAAAAGCTCTAGAGATCTGCAGAGGGATGTCCTGACTCTTTAGGTGAGTACTAATCTGCATATTCGTGTTGTGAAACATCTGAGGCCAGTGAAAGAACCATTGGAAAACAGAAGGCTGAACAACAGCCAGAGCTTACACAGGGCCAAAACTAGGTAGCACTCCCATCAGCCAGAGTAGAGAAACTATATAATACACAAGGCATTTGGAAGAGTGCTCAGAAAGGTCATCATATCTTAATAATGTGGCTAAATTAGCCCCAGAATAATAGAAACACTGGACACAGTCTAATAAAACTTTTTTAAAAAATATTTTTATTTCTAATAAAGCTTTAAAGCAAGATATATGTTAATTCCAAATAACTTAATTAGGTTTCTGAATAAAGACAAAAACTTTTTATAATATATGAAAAGTAAAACAAATTAAGGTTCACAGGATAAAGGGTAAATGTTATTCTACTTTTTAAAAAAGTTTTGCTCCTGTCTCTTTTTTTTATTATTTTTAATTGACATAAACTTATGGGTACAGTGTGACATTTTTATACTTATATATAATGATCAAATCAGGATAATTAGGGTTCCTTTAACAAGTAGTAGTACAATATTAACTCAATTTCATTTTGATTATTTAAAGTGCATAATGTAATCCCTAAAGCAACCACTAAACAGTAATGTAAAGTGATGGAGCTAAAATCCAATAAAGGAATCAAAATAATATACTGAAAATTTAACTATCACAAAATGAAACAGGAAAGAAACCTCAGAGGCAAAACATAATAAGACAAATAGTGAACCAACAGCACAATGGAAGACCTAAATTTAGTATCAATAATTACATAAATATAATACACTAAGTCAGACTGTATAAAAAAAGCTGGACCTAACTATTAATATATGCTGTCTATAGGAAATGCATAGAAAATAAAAATACAGATAAGTTGCAAGTATAGAGAATAGAACAAGACATACCATGCAAACAGTAAGCATAAGGAAGTTTTTTTGACTATATTAATATAAAATAGACTTTAAGAGAAGTATTATCAGAAAGGGAAGAAAATTTCACAATAATGAAAAGGTAAGTAAATCAGGAATATAAAACAAAAATAAAGATATATATACCTATTAACATTGCTTCAAATGACACCATCAAGTATCTTGATCCAATTGACAATTAAATTTAGAAAACTCTACCCCAACAACTGTAAAATATACATTGCTTTCAAATGCACATAGAATGTTCATCAAGATACATCACACAGTAGTAGGCTATAACAGAAGTCTAACTAAATTTTCAAAGGCTAAAATTAAACAGAATATGCTCTTTAAGCCCAAAGAAATTATATCAGAAGTAAATAACAGTAAGAAATCAATAATAATATACTTCTGAATAACTCATGTATCAAAGAAGGAATAAAAAATATTTTAAAATAATTTAAATTGAATGAGAATATAGATACACATTCCACGATGTGTGGGATACAGCTAAAGCACTGCTTAGATGGATATTTATATCTTTAAATGCTTAATAAAAATAAAAAATCTTAAAAACAATGATTGCGGTTTCCATCTTAAGATGCTAGAAGATGAAAAAATTAAACCAAAGTAAGTGGAAAGAAGGAAATAAATATAAGAGCCAATATCAAGAAAATAAAAAGGAAACAAAACAAAAAACATGAAAAAAATTAAGAATGCCAAAAGGATTTTGAATATAAATAAAATTGATAAACCCTACAAGACTGATGGAAAAGAGGAAAAACACTTAATATTAGAAGAATAGTAGAAGAAAGGCATAAAAGAAGAGGTATCACTACAGATGTGACATTAAACAAAAGAAGAGTCCAAATTCTTTTAATGGTGAATAGTTTGTATTGAACCAACCACAAATAATAATTGAAAGCTCTAGACATAAAAATTATACATATTAAAAACCCAACTCTAAAGGTACTGGAAATGAACCAGAAACAGGAAAATGGAAGGAGAGTTGCCAAGTACAAAAAGGAAAAAACAGTAAGTGAATGTCCTATTCTTATGGCTTTCTACTTTGTTGCGCAGAATGGCTAAATCTTGAATAAAAACAGTCTTACCTATTGTTAAATTGGAGAACAAAGTTAAGGATGAAACTGTCAGAAGGAAATTGAGGAGGAATACTACAGGAAGGAGAAAGAAGTGCACAAATCCTATGTAGTAAACTCTGAATCTCTGGCTAACACCTGAATTATGCATACAGAGAAGTCTCCAGGTGGCCCAGCTTGGTCTAAATCAACTGATGAAAGATCTCAGTTACTGCTCAATCTCAAAAAACAGAGTTTGGTGTCTGAATTCAGACAAAACAAAACAAAATTCAAAATTCTTTAGAGGAATACAATTAAATGCAAATTATCTACAATGTATCATTCCCAATATGGAGCAGATAATTCAAAATTATAAGAAAATATGACCCATGAAAGCAATCAGTAAAGACCAACCCTAAAATGACCCAAATGTTGGAGTTATCCAAAAGGGATTAAAAATAGGTATTATAAATATGCTAATAATGAATAAACAGATAAGAAAATCTACACAGAAAAGGAGAAACTACAAAATTAACAAAATGGATATTTTAGAATTAAA